CACACACACACACACACACCTTTACACTCACACCCACACTCACACTAACACACATGTACACACATACTCACACACACCCACACACAAATAAACAAACAAACAAACACACATACACACATGCGGGATGCAGCATACCATGGCATGTACAGAACAGATTATAATTAAATCAACCTTCATAGATCTAAGCTTATATTAATTGATGGTTTACGTACAAAATTTAGTAATGCTCCGTGTTGATAACCATCTGTCTGTCCACAGCATCTCTGTGCCGGAATTTTGTCGAAGGCTCTCGTGGAACGATCAGCTCTGCCAACTACCCCGGAGCATACGACAGTGACACGGACTGTCAGTGGACCATTCAAGGCCCCATCGGATCAGTCATCGAAATCCAGGTTTACTATTTTATAATTAACGTTTTGTAAGGCGGATAGAAGAAGGGGGGGGGGATATTTAATTAGCTACAGTCGACTCCACTCGTGTTGAACTCGCTTGAGTTGATCTTTGGTTAAGTTTTTCTTTTTTCTCCGGTCCCACAGCACCTCTTCTTCTTTACAGGTCCCCATGGTTAAGTTGAACTTCGGAAAAGTTGATTTGATATTTTTTTCACTCCCCGACGACATCAAATCAACCGTAATCGAATGTAATTGGCAATAATAAAGTGAATTTCACAGATATAGACAAATAAAAAAGAACTAAATGGCAGAAAGAATAAAAGACTGAAGGAAGAATGATAGATTGTTTGGCGAGTAGGCAGATGAATAGATTAGGCAGTTTGTACACTGCTGAATGGATGCAAATATGGATGGATCGGGGAATGAATGCACAGAGAAACAGAAAATTGTGTAATCTTAATAATATTTTATGTGATTACTTCACGGCTGAAAACGATAAATACTTTATTCTTTATGTGATAAAAAAAGATAATGTACTATCAAAGATGATGTATAACCTTCGTCAACTCGCCCAAAGATAGTAGGACGATACATCAGGATGCTTGACTCCCCTAAAAGTGTCCTAGATAATCTACATACTTTTCGACTGCATTTGTGTTTCCAATTACACCAGTTAGAGTATTATTTTGTTTTATTTAGGACCAGGAACTAGACCTAGAATCTATATCAGTTAATTGATATGCCTACTCACAGAAACTATCCTCATATTAGATACAAGGACTCCACTGGAAAAATGGGAATAGTCACAAACTGAGGGCATCAATTGTGAACGCTTGTTGACTCATAACTGTATTTCTAGTCAACTGTTGGTTGATTATCCCGTATAGAAACAGCTTTCATTGGCCTCGCTGTGTAGGTCTTTTTTAGTGAGTCATGATTTATTCTGATATTTTAAACAAAGACATTCGATTTGACTGCTTTCCCTCCCCACACCCCTCCCCACACC